AACTCCTGCCTTTCCTTGGAAAGAGCCCTGGGTATTTGTAAGATCATGTACATTAGCAACTCATCCATTTGATGGGAAAATCTAATAAATTGCTGTTACTCAGAACTGAGTAATTATGGACAAAATTCAATGTATGCATGTGAGAGAGGAACTTCAGCTTGTTCTTGGTTTCAGACAGTGTCTCATTAAGCCACCCTAATGCCTCAGATCTGCAGCAGAAGACTCGGAACATTAACACTTCCATTCTCATCTCCATAAATGAGGATTTGAACACATAATTCCCTGAGATGAGTCTATACCTCTTGATTTTTATTTCTAAATCTATGCTCGACTGGCAGATGTTGGGGAATAGCTTTTAGCATTTTTTCATTTAGATTCTGATTAAAAGATACGCTTTTTTTTTTTCGTTTTTTTTTTTTCCCCTTAAAACCAGCAAAACTAATTATTCATGAGCGCAAAAATCATCATCCCCGACTGAGAGACGTCTCAATTGAGGGTCAGCAGCAGATAATGTGAGGTCTGTAACAACTGTGTCCCAGAATGGTGTTTCTGGATTTCATTATCTGCAGGAGTGGAGCAGAGGAGAAAGTTCAGGAGCTGCTGCTGCCTCTGGTCCCGAATGCTGTGTCAGGAGCCAGGGAATGTGGGTTTGCTCAGGGCACTGGGCTTCCTCTGCTTCCCCTCACTGGCCTTCAGCTCTCAGGGCATCATTCCCAGTGACTGAAAAGCTGAGGAATGGGAAGGAGAAGGGAAAAACTGGGTTTTTTTGAGCTGCTCCAGGGTGACTGGATTCCTTCAGCTGTCCGTGTACTCCGAGCTCTACTCCTGGAATAGCAGTTTTCCCGTATTTATTATTCACATCCTGCCCAGTTCCTGGTTATTTGTCACCACACCTTCATTACCATCAGGATGAAAACATTTTCAGTTTCTTTGCTGTACTCCTGGTTTACTTCCTGATGTTGTGCAGCACCTGAAATCGTGATCCTTTGGGCAGCTGGAGCAAAGGGGAAGGATCCAGACTTGTACCACTGTGCATTGTCTAAAACCCCTGACTCGGAGAAAAACAGTATATCTGATTTCATTAGCTGAGAGATCATAATCCAATTATTTTATTTTTAATTTCTCTTTCCTGAGCTCTTTTGCAGATGCTGCTTTTTGGCCCTTTGACAGAAGCCTTTCAGCTTTCCTTATGAAAATCCCAGATTGCAGCCTTTCGTGGGGGTATTTCTTGAGTTATAGAGTTAACCTGAGAAGGCAGAAAAAGGGCCTTATTACATTGCTACAAGCTGCCAGCTCCTCACTAATATTTTAAAGGTGTGGGTGCATGTGTTGCTCTTGTGTAGTATCAGTTCTCTCTGATTTTGTAAACAGAGCCCTGTGAACCCTGAGTACCCGAACTGCGGTGTAAAGGCAAAACTAAAATTACTCATTTAAGGTCATCTGTTTTTACTGACACACCAAAGGTCTAGGAGAAGGAGTGAGCAAGCATCATATTTCTCAAATACAAAATTTTTACAGTGGGAACGTGTTATAAAACATTCTGCCAGTGTTGTTTCCCTTGGGATTTAGAGTGAGAGACATGAAGGCTGACAACTCTCTTCCTGTTGTAGGTCAGAGCTTCAAGGAACTCTGTAATCTTCCCACCAGCTTTACTCTCTCCTGGAACTCACGGTTAAAATTAGATGCTGGCTGAACTTTAGCAGTTCAATTTGAAAGCTTTTCAGAGGCAAAAGTAAAACAACTGCAGAGTGGAGTTTTCTCACAGTGCCATTTTGAGAACTCTCTGTGCAGAGGAACGTCCTCCGTGAACCGACGGCTCTCTTGCCTAGATGTTTTCATAAATCATGATTAGCAGGGGAGGCAACTGGGCAGCATGGAAATCATCCCTGTGGGTGCTTTCTCTTGCAGCGAGGTAGCTTTCTTCAGGATGTTAGGTTGCATTTTGGGTTGATTTCTGGTTTTCTCACACTTTCCCCTCCTGCCCCACCGCTTGTCAAGCAGTTTGTGCCCCAGCACAAAGTCAAAGATCAAACAAACAAGGGGGAAAGAGTGCATGGCAAGGCCTTACAGTAAGTGCTGTGAGTTATGGACTGCCAAACCAGGAATTAGGCAGGAATTGGAGCTGCAGCAGCACGGGGAAGCCTGGGCACACAGTCAGGAGGGTGAGGTGTTCTGCTTAGTCTCTGCTGCAGGATGCTGTGCCCGTCCTGCTCAGAGCCCAGCCTGCCTTGATTACCCCTTTTATTCAGGACTCAAAACAGCTTGTAAATTTTTTTATCATTCCTTCCCAGATTGTGTGGAGTGTATTGTAGCCTTCCCTTGCCTTTTCCCACATCTGTTTTCCAAACTCATTACTCTCCTGTTATTAGGTTCATTGAAGGCACTGTGTTTATTTCCATGCCGAGAGTTTATTTTTTTATCTTTTGAATTGATGCAACAACTCCATCAAACGATGATTTATTTTAGAAAAATCACCATCTATCAATTTTTCCTGCATATTATTAGTTGTTGCTAGCACTGACTTTCTCCTCAGACTGATGCCACCAACAGCCCTCAGAAGCTGTTCTGGGTTCAGAGATGCTGTGCTGGGAGTACTGTTTGTAATTCCAATTTCTTGTGATAATAATACAAATACTGTAATTTAGGAGGATGCTGTCCTGAGAAGAGCTTTTGTCCTCTGCTTGCTTGCACAGAACCTCACACAACATTTATCTAATCCCAGTTGAACCCAAGAGCTTTTCCTTAATACAAATATTTACCTGAGCCCGTGGCCAGTCCATCCTGTCTGAGGATGCTGAAATGTCTGTGATTGTCACTTGCCAGGCTGATCATCGTGCCTGTTTCACTCTTATCTCGTGGTTTTGGGAGGTCTGTGTGTTATTTTTGCCACCTGTAGTTCCTGCTCCAAGTTTCATAGCAGGGTGTTTTGGAGTCTGGCTGATTTTTGGTCTGTATTAATAAAATCTCTAAAATATTTCCCTGGGCTGGGACCATCAGGTGCCTGTGCCATGGGAGTAGTCAAGATGATCCCAAATTCCACACAGTGACACGAGGTGGGGTTAGCAGAGCTCTCCTGTATTTAATCCAGCTTGGAATTTAGGATAAGAAATCCACAAACACACCATGTGCTATTTATCATTAATTCCCCCTTTTTCTCGTTGCAACTATGGACATTTCCTAGAGATGAGAAAATTATGTGTATGTGACTAATCACCCTTAAAAATTCAAGTGGTATCTGTTGCAAAATCTCTGGAAGAGAGTTTTTCCTGGAAAAATCCTGGGAGGAAATGTGCTCTCCCCTGTGACAGTGGCTGTGCTGCCAGCCTTGGTGCTGACGTGGCTTTAGGAGAAACAAGCAGGGCTGAATTCCTTTGGGCTTTAGGGACAGATCCCGAGCCCACAGGTGATTCTGGGTTCTGTGGGTCACAACTGCATCAATCACTGCAGATTTAGAGGTGTTTGTGCATGAACTGTCCATCCCAAAAGCGTCCTGAAGGGATTCACAGGGAAATTCTGGCTCTCCTCCCTACATCAATGAGTTCATAGGGGTCTAGAATTGAATTTTATTATATTGTAGTTTATCAAAACTTGCAGTTTTCTCCTTGTTGTCCTCAGGTGTTTTATTTATTTTATTCAAGCACATTCTGGCTTAGAAACATTTGCTCTCCATTAGTATCCAGTCACTTCTGCTAGAAGTGCAGGAGAAGCCTTTGGCAACTGTATGCAATTGCTGATTATTAATGCCAAAGCTGTAAAAATGAAAATAGGAAGTCACTGCATAGGCTCTGAGTGTTAGTGTTGTTTACATTCCTAATTTGATTCACATATTAATCACAATTAACGTGCTCTCTGGATTTTAAGCATATGTTTCTTCTATCACAGAATGGTTTTTTTTTTTCCTTTGGTGCTTTACTTCAGGTTGTTCCTAGCTGGAAAAGGTTTGAAATATTCAGGCAATGGGGAAGAATTGTGATTTGCATTATTTTAGGGAATCTATTTGTTGGAATGAGGTGGGGATGTTCTGCTGTGCAATGACACATTTAGCTGTGGTTTGGGGGGGAAATGTTTTGAAATTCACCTTTTTTCTCTCTCAGGCACTCCTGAGATGGTGTTCTTGATTACAAGTGGAATATATAATAATAATAATAATAATAATTCCCTAAAGTCACACCACTGCTTGAATCCTGGTCCTTCCCTACTCCTGATAATCCCTCCTTTCTCACCCCACCCCCCTGACTGATCTCCCTCATCCCCCCATTTTCTTTCGTAGCCCTGTGGGCTATGGAGGGATTAATTGTACCAATAAACACAACTTTATTTTATAGTTTTATAGCACGATTAGCTATCAAATACTCTGTGCTAAAATAACATTTGCTAGGCTGTTTCAAGACAAAGTTTTGTTAGGCACAGTGGGCCTTTAATCCCCGGAGGAGTTCAGCTAACTAAATATAATATTAGTTAACATACTTTACTGATGTTAAGAAAATACTTCTGTGCTACTAAGAGATCCTTAGCCATGGTATTCCACTGGCAGCAATGGCTCTTTTCCTTTGCATGGAGTTTGTAAACTGGAGAACAATTTGGTTGATTAATTCTGTTCCTTCTTTTAATGGTGATAGATTTCTTCTATTGGAAATTCCCATCAGCGTTACAGACAGTGCTTGATTCTGTCATCGTGCTATTAATTAAGATATTAGAGGAAATTGCTGTTTACATAAGCTTTTGAGAGCTCACAGTTAGGAACAGCACTTCATCCCTCTTGTGCCATTTTTCCACTGATTTAATTCCCCTGCCCTGGTTGGGCTCTTGAAGATTTATTTCTGATACTATTCCCTTTACTCCGTGCCAAGTCACAGGATCCCAGACTGGTTTGGGTTGGAAGGGGACATTAAAGATCACCCAGTGCCACCCATGCCATGGGCAGGGACACCTCCCACTGTCCCAGGCTGCTCCAAGCCCTGTCCAGCCTGGCCTTGGGCGCTGCCAGGGCTCCATGGGCACCCTCTGCCAGCCCTGCCCACCCTCACAGGGAGGAAATTCTTCCATATGTTGGCACTCAGTATTATTTATCCAATATCCAGAATCTATTTTCCCAAGAACATGAGGGTTAAACTACAGAATAATCTTCCAAGAGGTGACAACCTCACCGTGTAAAACATTTAAAGTGAGATAAATGTCTTTGTAGAGAGCAATGCTGTGTGTGAGGGAGGAGGAGACGAGATGGCTCTGCAATTTCTGAATGCACTTGGAGTTTACATGTGAGACCAAATGAAGGAGATTGAACCCAAACCCAAGTAAAGCACCAAGAAATATTCCAATGGAATATTCAGGGAGCTTCTGTCATGTGTTAAGAGCAGGTGGGTGTCCCTAGGATGGATTATCTGTGATCTCAAGGGCTGCTCACTGCTGAGAGTGACTCTGAGTTTCTTGCATGTTAAGGACTCTGAGAGTAAAACTCTCCAAAGTCTTTCAAGTGACCAGATTGTTATAAAATTGTTATAAAATCCATGACTCAGTGGCGCCTTTCCTCCTGTCCTCGTAGTGTCGACCGCCCTTTATGCTATGTTAGCAACTCATATGTTTTGATCCAGTATAATCCAAATGTATTTAGTCTGTATTTTATTCCACTTTGTAAACACGTTTTTTCCATAGCTGCAAATGTCTCCACAATTATTTGTTTCAATTTGTAAATTGAACAAAAGGCTTTAATAAACAATGTCCTCAGGCCTCCTCTCGTCTTCTTCTCATGAAGAAACTTGATTTCTAAACCCAGCAGCCTGTAAACTCCTTAGAAATTCAAAGGGAAAACTCCCACCATTTTACCCAGCTTGGCCATTTAGAAGCTCAGAGCACTTCTTGCCGTGAATAAACTCTGTGGCTGAGTTTGTAAATAAAGTTTGGGATGACAAGTTGGTATTTTGGAGCCTGCTGCTGGTGGCACTGCTCTCATCCAGTGGCACCACGTGTGACAGTCAGAAGTTGTTGGAGGAGACTACAAGGCACTTTATTGCTTGATTCACTGTTGAGCTATACTCTGTAGCTGACCAGAATGTTTGATTTTATACTTTGGATTTCTGCTTATGGCTGCTAAGCTGTCATTAGACAAATATAAACTCCATCAAGCAGCTCCTGGCTACGGATCCTGTAAACTGGGGAGCTCGGACTGGGATCACCAGGAGAAGCAAAACTGCAAACTCTGCCGAAAATTCCAACTTCTTGTAGCATCTCCAGTCCACAGCTGTTTCCCTGCATTTTAGCAGTGGCTGAGACAGCCTTTAGCTTCCCTAGATCCCAAAGAATTTGAGCTGGAGAATTCCTGATTCATGTTGTTTAAATCACTTATATAAAAGTGTACGATGCACTTACTCATGTGTGTTGATAACATACACACACCCATTCATAGGCAGGGATTCAATCTCCAAACATTGGAGTGGTTACAAAAGAAAGTAAATCTTGTGCTGGTTCAGCTCATCTCAGGATGAGGATGGAGGATTTTGGGAGGGAGAAAATAAGAACAGCCAAAGCCCAAACAGAACTTAATGTGGCTGCTGTTGTAAAAGACACAAAAAATGCTTCTGCAAATCCATCACCAACGAAAGGAGGATGTGAAGGAGAATCTCCATCCTTTATTCAGTTCAAAACTGATTTTCAGGAGGAAGGTGCTGGGGTTTTGCTGTCAGATCACTAGCTGGCTTTCCAATCTTTATTCAATCTCTCTCCTTGGTACCTGTTGCAGACACACTGAGTTTCAGTGTTATTTATCTGCCCATGTTGGTTTTTCTGGCAACAGAGGAGGGGTGGGATTGTTTATTCTCTTGCTTTTATTTTTAATCTTTTTTTACCATCCTTTCCTTGGAGATGGAACTGGTAATATATAATATTACATCCGTGGTTCCCTGCTAGGTGATACTGTCTTTCTCACAAGTCTTTTGCTCATTTTGTGCAAAATAATGGCCTGTGAGGTTTTTGTTTTGGCTTTGGCCAGATTCTTCTCCCATTGACTTCATTGTTAGTGCTAATAAAACCATGGGAAATGTTTTGATGGCTAGGAGATTGCAGGGACTTGAGGTTTAAGCTTTGATACTGTATTGGCTGCTGCACATAATCTTTGGTAAACCAAAGATAAAGAGCAAAGCTTGTTTTAGAAAGCCACGGGCTTTTCAGAATGACGCTTGGCAAATTTTGGTCCTCACTTTGTCAACTATTTGCCCACATATCAGTAGTTTTGTGCCTGTGTTTACACTCGTTTTGCCTCCGGGCTTGTTTTAGTAAGTTGGATAAAGTGTTTATTATGTGGGTTGCAAAATATGTTCCTAATGGTGACCTAACCCGTGGTGCCACAGAGACTGGGGGCTGTTGGGATCTCCTGTTGTGCAACAGAGAGTGGGGCAGGTAACCACAAGCCAGCCTTGGCCACCCTTTAGGGAGCCTGCATGGTTGTGGCAGGGCAGGACTTGGCTTTCTGCTCCCTCAGCGTTCCCCGTTTGCTTGGCTTGGCTGGAGCCTCCTGGCAGGCTCTGCTCGAGTCTCTTCCACTGCCCAGAGCCTCCCCTCGTGAAGAATTGGTGCAAATTGCAGCAGCTCCAGGGGCTGGGATTGGAATCCCAGCAGTGTCGAGGCAGCTTGTGGTGCCCGTTCTCTTGGCAGGTTGTTTGGGGAAAGGTCTGGGAAGTTTTCCTCACCTTCCACCTCTCCTTGGGGCTGCTCTGGGCTGTTCAGAGCAGTTGTGTGAACACTTAACAAAATTTCAGCTGATTTTAAGATCGATTTTGGGAGCCTGTTTCCATCCCCTGTGTGGTTTCAGGGTATCTCCCACGTGTCATCTCCCAGATTGCTCTGGGTGTTCAGGAACTTTCTCACTTACAAAAACCTCTCACTAAAGCTCATTTAACAACTCTTAATCTAATGGAGGCTAAAGAATTTACTCTAAAATATAAGTTAGGCCATGATCCTTCCAGAGCCAGAGTGCCTCCTGCAGATTGTCCTGGAAATAAATAACACTGAAAAAGTTTGTTCTCTTTAATGCAATAATATGTAGGAAGGTAGGACTTGTATTAAATTACTTTATATGTGATAAGATGTGATTATAATAAAGAAGGAGATTTATGATTGCTATAAAAAGAAATGTGATTGTATTATAGTTTAAATAAGTTATTTGCATTTCAGATTTATTCTGGAGTGGTGTCTTTAGGCACCAGCTGTACCCTGGGTTCACATGTGCCAGGAGCTGTACAGAGGAAACAAAATTATTGCTGCTTCAGGAGCCTTGAGGAAAGTTGTGGCTTCCCGAGTTGTATCTGGGAATAAAACTATGTTTCATGTAAGACCTTGTCCCTGCAGTGCTGGCCAGTAAAAATTACTTTGAGAATGGAGTTGAAAGGTGTGTCATGATCAAAACCTAGTGGGTCTCCCTAAAAGGCATCTTAGGAAATTCTTTTTTCCCTCTAATTCAATTGTTTAAAAAAATTTTTACAGTTATATTAAGTACAGACATTCATCCCCCAGCAGGTACAACTGAGATCCGAGGCTGTGTAAATAATGTAGGGCGAGCTGACTTGGATGAGGTGCAAATTGGGATCACACGTCTGCTGGAGTGGAGTGATTTACATTCTCTGGTTACAGCAGTTAATTGTGGGTGCCCTGATAAGACTTGTTTACTGCCACATCAGCTTGTCCCAGGCCTGCTGAGCATCAGCACGGGCTGATTGAAGGCTCGATTACCTATTCTGCTTACTGCTGCAAGGGTTTCATGCAGGAAAAATCAAAATGCCATCATCCACGACCTGCTCAGGACCTGAAATTCCCATTTAGGGCTCTTCTCCACAGAAACCCTCAGAGAGCAGAAGTGTTAAAGGATTAAGTCATCTGAAAACTCATGTTTGGGAGAATTCTTAACTATAAACACTTTTTTTTGAGCCTAATGAAGGGCTGAACCTGGTGCCTGCATGGAGTGAGCCTGCCCATCACAGGGAATTTGGACATTTTAGGGAAATGGCTGTGCCCGTGCTGTGGAGCAGATTGCCCAGATTACCCATCCCTGTGAAGATGCCATTCCTGCCTGTCAGGGATGGAGCTGGAGGCTCCAAGGAAGAGCCAGCACACTCCCCAGGCTCTGTTACCTTTTTGGTGAGATTCCCACGAGCAGCACAGGAGCAGCTCAGCTCCTCGCTCCGAGCCTGCCAAGTTTCCACTCCTTTTGTAGGCACATGCTCGTGCCTGGGGGTGGGAGGGACAGGGCAGGATCCACGGGCAGCTCCAGCACCCTTCCTTCCCTGGAAATTTCACATATGAGGGGAAGGATGAGCCTCCACAAATATATAGGTGTGAGGCACAGCCTGGGAGTCCATCTCCTTCCCCTTGTCCCCACAGGGTTTTTCTTTCCTCAGTATTTTTCTCATGCATCTTCCTCAGCTTGTGGCTGCCCTGGTGCTGTCTGCAGCAACTTAAAATAAATTCTCATTAAACACCTTTCAGAGGGTGAGGGTGGTCCTAAACCATTCCTTGTGTGAAAACAAATCTTAAGCAAAGCTTTAAACCCCTCTCATATGTGTATGAGAGGAGTTGGTTGCACTCAGCAAACTCAGATTGCTGTTTTTCCCTAAATTGGAAGAAAAGCAGCATCATGGCATGTGTTTTTGAACATTCTGGGTGTTCTTTCACACCCTCGAACAACCCCACTTGAGCATCCATGGGCACATCAAAGACACAACATACCGAGTTGTAAAACAGCCTACAGAAAACGTTGGTGATAAAGGAACGTCCTGTGGTGATCTGAAATCTAAGCTGGAATCACAGGAAAAGTGCCCTGTGAGCAGAGCATCCGTACAGGAGTGATTTTATTCCCCAAGGTTGTCCCCAGGACAAGTCCACTGAGGAATTTCAGCCTCACTGAGAAGAGGAGGGGTAAGGAATGAGCTCAGTCGCTCAAAGGAAAATTCAGCAAACTTTCAAATAATGCATCTTGAATGCCAATATGTTGTATAGGTTGCAGGATGCTGGTTAATGAATGTCGAATTAGGATGTCAATATTTCCATTCTCCAACCTTTTAGGGTAATTTCACGTAAATATTAAAAAAAAAAAAAAGCCCTAAAACATCCAGCACATGTTTGTGCAGGATTCAGTTTTCAAGGGCAGCTTGATCTGAGAGTTTCAGTCCAAGCAGTGGCAGCTAAAAGATGCCACTGTCACCTCTGTGGGTCTGGGAAAATGCAGGGTGGTTCTGCACGTGTTTTGTGGCTTCTCTGTGTGTTCCTGCAAATGAGAACATCAAATCCTATCAACATTGTGGTGAATTTTAGTTTGGTTTTTTGTGTTCTTGTATGCAGTCCTGCTGTGCTGGGATTCTGGGGGAGAGGAGAGCTTAAAGAGATACAGACACAGAGACAGGGAAGGGCATTGCTGGCCTTTGTGGGCACCTGGCTGTGAGCTCCCCTGGCCTCAGAGGGGTCACCTGTGCAGGTAAAGGTGCCTGAGTTCCCAGGCATGACTTCACCAGTGCCTAAAGTTGTATTCTTTGCACATCTGATCCTCTTGACCCAATGGAATTCCTGCTGGTGATGCAAATCTCCCAGCGCTGAGTTCATGTTAGACCTGGGCTTAATTTTTGGATGAGCAGCAGAGGCTTCTGTGGTTTTACAGTGCAGAAGGAACTGGTCATTTCCCTAAAAAATGATGGATTTGAAATCCATTCAAATGAGATATTTCTGTCTTGTGACAGGAGCTTAAGAGCTTCTTGCATTTGTGTTTGGAAACATATTCTTTGAACTTTTGTGTAATGCTCAGCCAGTATAAGGCAAACATTCTTCTTCAGCTGGTAATAGGCTGTCTGGTGTCTGTAATTCAGTTATTTAGCTTTAAAATTAACTGTATATATTTGTAAGTTTTTAATTAAGATGTGTTTCTACTCGAAGCTTTTCAGGGCTTACTCAGAGGAGCATCAAACACTCCACAGTTTTGGTCTTTCCTCTCTGCCTATTAGCTTCTCCCCCTCTGCTTATAAATTTCTGATGACAGACATAAACATTTACCTCCGTGGGCATTACTTAACTCTGAGATCACTTTGTTCTATAAATACAAATAAATAAAAGGCCCTTTAATGGGTGAGGGGAGGCCAGCAGTGAAGTGGTTAAAGGTTTGTGCCTGCAGCCTGGCCAGCAGGAGCTGGCGGTGTGGAGCAAGGGGGACGCCAGCCTGTCTCTAAACTTTTTGGCCCTCCCTGAGTGCAGAGATGAAGGAAGAGCCCTCTATAAATCACTGGAGATTAGAGACCCTGTTCTTGCCGACTCTGCAGGGTTGCACTGCTTAATGTCAAAGCCTCACGTATTACTTTAACAGCACTCCTTTTCTTTATTAAATCCACTTTGAAATAAAAAAATGATGATCTTTCCAGTGAGGGGGAGAAGGTCTAAAAGGATTTAGAAAGTATCTGTTATGTTACATTACGGAGACTAATAACTGCACAGGGAGTAGGTAACATTTTTGCACCATTTCAGAAAGTAAAATGAATAGACTTTACAGAGTTTTCCTCCTTCAAAATATTTATTGCTGTTGATTTTGAGGGACTTTTGCGGGCTCCTCAGTAAAGGTGGACTGAGCGTGAACGCCGGCGGGGATTTCCCTCCAGGTCTGCAAAATTAAATTTGCATCTTCATTTTTGCACGTCCCGCAGCATCTGGTTTTAGATTACTTTTTTTTAACCTTTGGATTTATTCTGGAGGAATTTTATTTGGTCTCTATCTCCATCTGAGTACGATGAAGACATATTTTAAACAGCTGTATCTGTGTCAAATGTCAGTGTTTGCTCATAGCCTCGCTGGCTTGAGGACATTCAGAGGCTTCGAGGCCCTGCATATTTATCTACTATTTTGACCTGATTTCTTCAGATTTGTGAAAGTCACATTAGGCAGGATATGGTATTTTTTTTTTAACGTGCGAGGTTAATGGGATTGTTTTTATGTAAAACACTGTTGTTTTTCCACATGTATTTAGTTACCTCCTTTAGTGCATTGCATCCCACCTAACAAATCTCCCGAGCCAGAGGAATTGCACATATGTATTTTTTTTTTCTGCACATAAGTGTTCAAGATCCTCCAGGTCATTTAGTATCCATTAGGACACTAAAGCTTCTTACTGTTTTCTCATTAATAGTCGAGTCTGTTACCACGACAAAAACAATTTATGAGAGACAGGATTCTTTGAGAAACATCTCTGATGAAAGTCCTGGAAATCCTAACAACAAATGTTGTCAAGTTAGATTTCAGCGAAGCATTTCTGTTTCACTGTGCAGCATTATGCCCCAGGAATGTAGTTTTTCTTTTAGTCTCATGACTTTAAACACAACATTGGCATGAAACCCATTAAGAATAACAGATTTATAAGCTCTTGTTGATGGATTCTGTTCAAATGCAGTAGGATGGAAGGTGAAAATATTTTTACTCTTTAAACGTATTAAAAATAAACTGTGATTATTTTAATTCTCTACATTTGAAGTCATTTGCTTCCTTGCCACCGTACCCGGAGTGTTTTTCTACCCGTTCACAGTTCATTTACGATACAGTTTTGAAGTTTGGAAATAGTTCACACCTATAAAATGCGGTTTTGCGTTTGCCAGGGAAAATGAATATTGTTTTGCAATGCATCTTATCCAAAAGTTGACAAGTAACAGCTTTTTCGCTGCTTTACTCTGACAAACAGCTTGAAGGTATCACCTTTGTAGGCGGCTGCTGCAATGAACTGCAGATATTCATTTATAGCTGTTTGTACTCCGTGTGTTCTTTCATGTGCTCAGGAATATTGCCCAGTTCCAAAGTATGAGCTCTTAAAATAACTGGAAATGGGGGGTGGGGTCAGGATTTTGTATAAACAGGGCGAGTTTCTGGGGCTGGATGGATGCACTGGAGGATCCCAAGAGCACGGTGTAGCCGAGCAGGGAGCAGAGCAGGAGGTTATCACATCCCAGCGCCGCGATCCCGACGTTCCCACCGGCAGTGGGTGTTTTATTAGGAGAGAACAACTCTATAAAAGGAACAGGAGATTCAATCATAATATAGCGGGGTGACATGAAGGCAGCTGACAGCATGGCTTCAAAACCCATTTAAGATCCAAGAAAAGTTGCCACAAGTAATGTGCTGCAGCTGGGGAGAGCGTTTTGGAAAAAAGCAGAACCTGCCACAGCCCTGCGGATTCGCGTTCCCGAGCGGAGCCGTCGCCTCGCACGGAAAGGCTGGGCTGGGCTGGGCCCTCCTTACCACCCACAGGCAGGGCTGGGAAAGATCTCTCACCCCGTGTTTGTGTGTGTTTTTCCTGCTGAAAGTGGTTTGGGGAGAAGTGGGAAGCAATGACCAGTCTGGTGGTTTGGGTTGGAAAGAGAGGGAACGAAGCGTTGGCTACGAGGTGGCGGAGCGTGATCTTCTGGAGGGGGTTTGCTGGTGGAAGCAAATGCTTCCAAGAAAGGCCATTTTGAAAAGGGAAAGTGCTTCAAATAAATGTGTGATTTAAAATAAAATTAAAAAAAAAATATTCTTTTCTTCCCCTTAATTCTTTCTGCTGTCTGGCACTTCAGCAAGTCACTGTTTTTGGGGTCATCTGTGCTGGATGGAACATTCCCCAGGGAAGTGACGGAGTCACTGTCCTTGGAAGTGTCCAAAAAAATCAGTAGGTGTGGCACTTCCCAGTGTGGTTTACTGGGCACGAGGGTGTTAGGCCAAAGGTTGGGCTTGATGATCTTGGAGGTCTTTTCCAACCTCAATAATTCTGTGATTCCATGATCAGCACTGACTGTCTTTCATCTCTTTTCCTCTAAAACCCGTGAGCCAAGTCCTGCGAGGTGCAAAGCCCTTCTAAATCTAAGGCAAAGGCTGGAACATTTAAAAGTATAAACTTTGCTGTGCCAGAACTGGTTGGGTTTGGGACTGCTTAAACCCAAGTAATTGGTGAACTGGAATAATTTGGAAATAGGATACTTTAGTGTGTCCAGCCTAAGAATGTACTTCTAAAGATTGTTAAATCTGTATTTTTAAAAGAAATCTGGGAAGAACTTCGTGCCTGCTCTCATGTGGCAGTGGCTTTACTGGGAAGTGGTTGACAGCTGGGTGGACTTCCCAAGGATGGATTTTCCAAGGGCAGCAATATCAGCAAGGGTGGTGTCTGTATCTAGAGAGAAGCTGGCCAAATTGCTACTCAACTATGATCCAAATCGAAATTAACTGATATTTTGGCTGGAAGTAGCATGTCATTTATGTAAGAAAAGGTCATCTTCTCCCTGGTAGAAGGTAATGCTAATTTAGGAATAAACAGCCTTTTTAAGTTGTTCTTATAGAGGTTGTGTCACACAAAAATACATTGCATGGAAAGGAGCTCAAAGAGGAGAAGCACAATTAAAACAAATATCACTGGGTTTTCTTAGTAATTACAAGGAATTTCTGCACGTTCTCTTGTGCAGGGGCAACACAAATACCGTGTAGATAAAATTTCAGAATTAACACATAGGTTTGTGCTGCTTCATGGGGAAGAAATGGCCAGCACTAAAAAAAAAAAATCCCTCAAACAAGTGAATCTTTCATTTTTAATTCACCTGTATTAGAAGCAGAATCAAAATAGTTGCAGTAAGTGTTTGGGATTCCTTTTTTTATTAAAAAATTCCATGCCGATTGTATTTGTTGAAAAAACCAGAGGCATAGGTAGAATTAGGAAATCCAGGCTACCCCATCAGCCTCAGCATTGCATGGAATTGACTTTAAATTGGGCACCTGGTGACACTGACACAGAGAGGGGAAAAATGAGCTCTGTGCAGTGGGGAAAGGTTTGCTGCCCTCCTTGGCATCTTCTGAGCATTGGGAGTTTGGCTTGGTTTGACCACAGAGTGCACTTGCAAGGACAGCTTGATGAAAAAATATGTTCTGTGCTCCTTCTGCCACTTAATTCCTTAGTTTCCCCTCCTTTTGGAATTCCCTAATTTCTCTAAGATGCTGCATGCCGTGCCAAAGGTGGCTCGAATAGGAATGGTTGATCTAAAATAATATTTTTTTTGTGGGGTGTGAAAAGTTGGGGGGTTATTTGCTGTTGTTGTCTCCCCCCTATATTTATGCCTGGCAAGGTAAGATAAAATTCCATGTGCTGCTTTGGCTCCCAGGGAATGCAGCCCTGCAAGGAGCTTGGGGTTGTTAGCAAAGCAAGTATCTGTCATCTAGAAAACAAGGGGCTTAAAGATTATGGACTAATTTCACACTTCCCATGGCATAGCATTACTGGTGCAGAAAATGATGGAGAATAAGCTGAGCACTCATTTGCCCGTAAACCTACAGGGGGGTAATGTCCTAAAAAGCCACTGAAATTGGATATGTGGAAAATGAACTCATTTTTTTAAGTGGGTCACAACATCTGTGATTATCTCGTTGGGATTACGAGCGTGATCCTGCTGTGGTAGCACCGACTGCTTCCCGTGGCCTTCCCCCTCCATGCCCAGCTTGGCAGGGACTCCTGGTGTGCCCAGCACATCCCCAGCCTGCCCTGCTGGGTGTCTGGGTGCAGGAAGTATGGGCAGGGTGGTCTAGAAATGTTCCAAACTTCATCCCTGCCTTAAAAAACACAGATTTGAAATGAGGGATACGTTTGTTGAAATGATGCCGTGCTCTTCTGTGATTTTGTCTTCTGCTTTCTTGGAGATAATTTAAACGTTCCCGAGGCTTGAAAATTATTTAGAAAATAATCAATTGGTTTTAGAAGCCACGTGGAGCTTTGGGTCATGATGTAGGGGACATGGACCTTCCTGCTCTTCCCTTCTGCTGAAGGGGGTCCAGTGTGTTTGTGTAGGGGGCAGAATATTCTCTCTATGAGCAATGTAGATAGCAGGCCTGGTGTCAAAATTCCAAACAAGTTCATATAAACCCTCTTCTTCTATTGAGCCACCCTGGTTGTGAGGGAAAGGACATTCTCTTCTTAGCTCGTTGTGGTTCTCATTTCTCCTCTTGTAATCCCTTTGTGAATGTCTTTGGGGCAAACTACGAAGGATTTTAACTTCTTAGCAGTTCTTCCTACACAGCCTTCCTCACTCTAAACCTCGAGGCATTTCAGGCTGTACATGTGGTGACTTAATCCTTGGAAGATGTGGGAATCTTCAAAACTTGAGTGCTGGGATTTGGGGTGGAATCTCAATTTCCTTCCTCTCAGGTACAGCACCCTGAGAAAGGGCTGTGGTGGTGGCATCTGCTCCAAAGGAGCCCCCACTGCTCTCCCTGCTCCCTCTGCTCTGCCAGGAGATGAGGTGGGATAGGGAACAGGTCAATCTTGACTCCAGAAGCCATGAAATCAGGGCTTTTTTTCACACCCTAATGGTAATAGCAGCTTTATGACAAAGAATCCTCTTTGCAGAGGCAACCTGTGCTCCCAGAATGGTGATCTTGAGAGGGTTTAGAAACACAATTGACTGAAACTTGAAAAATGTGAAACACTCAGAGGAAAAGCTGCCTTCTGTTAGACTGCTTCTGTGGAAAAGGAAAAAAAACCCCACAGGATAAAAGCCAAAACTGGTGATCACCCTTCTGCTGAAGGCTCTGAGCAGAGGTTGCCTGCCCTCACCAGAGCCCTGAGCTCCTTGTTGGGGCAAATCATTGCAAAAAATCTGCTTTTTCCAGGTTGTTTTTCTCCGTGGCAGCAGTGGGGTCACAGGTTCCCAAAGGTTATTTCCTGCCCCACAGCCAGCCAGCCAAACAACATTGTTCCTGAGGAGTGCCAACCCCAAACAACGTTGGACCCCCGTGCCTTGTTTACCTAACGCCCATTTGTGCTTTATTTTTCTTCTCATGGTGTTTGGGGTCTGTTCAGGCTCTCACAAATAAAATAGGAAATGGTAAAATACAAAGAAGCAGAAGGCAAAGCAGCGCAGGGAAAAGATTGATGCTGGTTCGGGGACAGAGGTGACACATACAAAGGTCTTTGAAACGTGAAAACTTCAGTTTTTATATCTTTCAGCTTTGCATATCATTAGCTTAGAAGCACTTCATTGTTTTCTTCATGCCTAAATCAGAGCAGGAAGCTGCAGAGAGCTGAGATCTGGGGGGAGATTTATGAAGGAAGGGCCAGCAGAGCTTTCAGATGCTGTTTATAAAAGTCAGCCCTGCCCAAACCCACAGTGGGCTCACACAGGAGCCCAGGAGCAGAGAAGCCTTGTCCTGAAGCATGACAAAGCAATTATTGATCTCCCTGACAGGGACAGCAGCACTAAAAAAGCACAAGGGACAGCAGGGACAGGGGTGGAACGTGCCACAGAGACAGAAGGAGAGGCCAAGGACAGGTTACCAGAGGAGTGGGACTGAATCCAAATACCCCAGATGCAAAATCCCTCAGTTTTGGTAAACTTGGATTAGCATGTAAGAACAAACAGAAGAACACAGCTGGCCTTGCAGCTCTATCATTGATTAAACAATATCTGCAGGGCTTTGAAGTCTGGAGAAGTTTGGGGAGCTCAGCCTCGCAGTTTATCTGCCAGGGTTGAAGTATTCCATCCTGGTTTTCTGTTTTAGCACCTCTGCAAAGGGGCTTTCTAATGAGCTAAATATATAGAAAGGTGTAGGGAGAAACTTGGGATTCGTGCATGGAAAAGATCTATTTAGAGAAGCCCTGGAAGCAGTTTTTAGATGCTGTATCCAGTCCCTGTCCTGCCCTGCTCCCAGCTTTCCTGGTGGCATTGCTTCCATCTTCCCACTCAGGATGTTGAGAGAGAGAATTTCTTCTGACTAGAAAATTTACCTTCCCAAGCCTGTATACAAACACGGGGATTTTTCACTACTGGGGAGGGGGGAAATGGACAAAAAACTGGATTTTGAGGCTGTTAATTGGTGTGTGGATATGTAAAATTAAAATTCAGAGGTGTGGGGAAAGAAGTGAGAACTAGAGGGCAGAAGGGAGATGCAGAGGACAGGAATTTTGTTTGTGATTCTTCCACTATTTCTCATGGTACATGCTTGAATTCACTCTCCCCTTAAAAACTGAGAGCAAGACTATTTCCATTCAGTGTTTTTAAATGACCATATGGGAGGCAATAAGTGTGAACTGTTATTATATCTGGAAAAAACTGTGGGTGTTTATGAATGCCCCAAGGCCAGGATCCATCCCAGATGGGATTCAGCACCTGAGAAAAAGACCTTGAATTGATTTATCTCCTCCACTGAGAGACTTACAGGAACTGTGTCCATAATTTGGTCACCAGTTCTGTGCCTCAAACAAACCAGGAAAAAAAATAAATTCTATTTTCTTGTCTATTAGCAGTGGGCATTTCTTGTTTAGATAAGTTGTTTTGTATTTCCAGTGTCCCAAATGCCAACTTCCTCCAGCAGCCAAACTCTTTCCTGCTTTTGGAGCACGTGGATGAAGCTCAGTAGAGGAGATCAAAATCTTCTGGCTGAAATTCGGGGCAGTTATGTCTCTGAGCAATTCTAAGAGTTTCATCAGCAGGAATATCTTCAATATCTTGAAGGAGGTGCTGTTTTGCAGTGGCCACTGAAATCTTTATGGCTCATCTGAACAGGATGTTATAATGCAGCTGGATACCCCCAGTGACTCTGTGCAGATGTATAGAGACATCTTCTTTATCAGTAAAATAAATTTTAAAAAAGTTAAAAAGGAGTTCTCTTTAGCCAGTGCTTTTAGAAGCAGTCTGAAACAGTTCCAACATGCAAAGAGTTCTGATTGTTTGGGTTTTTTTAATAGAAGTAATAACCCACCTGCACATAAATATTTGGGGTAGATTTGCTTCAGGTGGACTCGTAGAGTGAGCTTTGTACCCCAAGTTCATGGGAAATGGCTTATTTTGACTGAGGAGTTCAGCAAAACCCCTCCATTTCTGTAACACTGGTCTCAGTATTTCAGCCCTCCCCTTTGTCCAGGGCAGGCTGCAGGAAATTTTGGGATAGCATGCCAATCCCTTCTTAGAGAGGGGCTGAGTCCCACAGAATTGAAGCTCATTTGTCACATCCTGGTGTCTGTTCCCATTTTCATGCCTGATTTTATTTCCAAATCTTTCTTCATTTGTGTTCTCCTTGGCATTCCTTACTCACCCTCAGGTATCATTTCCTTGGGTTTTCAGGTCTCCCACCACTTTTCCAGCAGCTCTCTGTCTGTTCATTCAAATCCCTCCTTAAAACCAACATCTTCCAGGAAATTCATCCTCCTCTACTGTCACTTATAATCTCTCCTGCTTCCTCCTTTATCATTTCTCCTCTATCCTGTTCTCTGTTTTCCTGTCAGACTTTTTGTGAGTGTGTCTGTTCAGATTGTTCCTTATCATATATATATATTAAATACATGCTATGAAATATTGTTCATATAATACATTGAAAAAGAGAATAGTTTGCTTTATAAATATTCACCAATACACCTCTGGTGCTTTAGGATGGTAATCCTAATTCAAAGAGTAGAAGTAAAACACCAGTTCCTGCCTAGCAGTGGGAATTACTATTACAGCTACATAATAGTAAATATTATGAAAAAAAGCAGCCCCTACTGTTCAGGGAATTAGGTGAAGTAGAATCAAATCACATTTGATTCTATAATTTTAAGCTGTGGACATGTTTAATTGACAAGCTGAGTCTGTATTTGGGGTGGAAACATGTTCTATCTGACTGTAACTGTATTTTTTATTTGTTCATATATGCACAGTGTGTCCATGTGCATGTGCTGTGCATTAAAATACAAAAGTAACGTCACCAGATTTTTATTTTGCCTGAGTGTGCCATGAAGTAAGAGCTCTCTCGTGTTAGACTACAGTAAAAGTGGTAATAAAAGCCTGGATTTTAGGCCTGTAGCT